TATAGGCAGCTGTGGGGCCGCAGGATCAGCACACCGGGGGGAGCTCGCGCGTGAAAAGCAGAGAAAATAAGAAAAGAAAACAAATAAAATAACATTTAAATTATTTTAATATTTATTTTTACTTTATTTTATATTTTTTTAATAGAATTATAGAGAGGGGCCGCTCGCCCGTACCAGCTCGGGGTGTACATACACCCCAAGGTGACCCCGGCGGCTCACGCGGGTGGATCAGCCGCTTAGCCCCTCGTTTTTAATTTTTTTCGAGTTTAAATGTAATTAAATACTAAAATAAAAATAAAATTTATTATATTTCAATAAATTTAGGAGAGAAGCCCCGAGGAGGTGACTTGGGGTGCGCGGCGGCCTCATGAGGGCGAATGATGGGGGCCGGGGTGTATCTGCAGCTTCTCTTTTGGCGTTTCATCTGAATATTAATTTTTTGAGTTAATAAAATATATTTAATTTAATTTTATTCTGCTGCTTGAGAAAACAGATTGCTTCTCTATCCTCCCTGCTGCTGCAGCGCAGCAGCAGCGAACCAACGGCCTCATCGGGGGCCCCCCAGCAGCAGCTGCTATTTCTTCTTTCTGAGTCCCCAGGTCTTCTGCTGAGAAGCTGCAAAGGAGATGTAAATTTTAATTTATATTTTTGTGAGAGAGCCTCGAGGAAACAGCTGGAGAGGTTGCATGCGTTTCAGGTGTACGTACACCCGGTGTATGTATACACCGCGCGTACTGAGTTCTGTAGTCTTCTTCTTCTCTTTAGGGTTTTCTAAACCCTAAACCCTAAACCCTTGCTGATGGATTCCTCCTTGGCCTCTATCACCCTCCCCTGTTCTCCTCCTTCTACGCCTTTCACAGACAGCCAAAACCCCATAGATTTCGGGTGTACGTACACCCCAACCAACGAGGCAACTGCTGCTGAGGGGCCCCCGCTTGAGGGCCCCGACCGGCTCCCTGCTGCTCTCTCCGCGCCCCACACCTCCCTGCAAACTCGTCTCCCCCCGCCGCTCCGCTGCCCCCCCTCTGGGGATCGTCTGGGATCGTCTTTTAAGCCCCTCTATGGGGGCCCCTCGGGGGCCCCGGGGGCCCCCCCGCATGCACAGGACCCTCTTACGGGGGCCCCTCCCCCACAGTCCCTC